CAAGGTTAGAAGGGGGGAATCCTTAAAAAAATGACTTACCCATTTCAAAAAGAGAGATTGTGTAGAGCGTTCATTTCAGTTTTTTTCCAAGTTTGGGGGTAGAATGAGTCGCAAAATGGCGACCCATTTCAAAGAGAGAGAGAAATCGTGTTGAGCATTCATTTTTTTAAATTTTTTTTCCAACGTTAGGGAGTCTAAAAGACTGGTGATCCATTTCAATGAGAGAGAGAGATCGTGTAGAACGTACATTTCCAGTCCAGTTTTCCAAGTTTAAGGGGGGAATCCTACAAAATGGCTACCTAATTCAAAGAGAGAGAGAGGGTATATAGAGTGTTCATTTCCCTTTTCCAAGGTTAGAAGGTCCCGAAATACCTTCTAAATTCAAAGAGACAGAGAGAGAGACAAATCTTGTACAGCGTCCATTTCCCCCAATCCTCCAAGATCAGAGAGTCCGTTTTTTCCTCCAAAATGGTTTTCCGAATTCAGAAAAAAAAAAAACCAGCGGGTTGCAGACGTCCAAAGTCCCCAAAAATGGCTTCCCGTTTCAAACAGAGTGAGAGAGGCGTGGTAAGCGGTCATTTCCCGTTCTTCCAAAATGGGTCGTCCGCTTTTTCCCAAAATAGTCCCCATTTAAATAGAGTGAGAGGCGGGGTAAGCGGTTTTCTTGTTCTTCCAAATGGGGTCGTTCGCTTTTCTCAAAATGGCGTCCCCATTCAAACAGAGTGAGAGGCGGGGTAAGCGGTCATGACCCGTTCTTCCAAACACCTAGGATGGAAAGACACGAAGGAAAGAGAGAAAAAACGCCATCCTGTCATTTTTTGATAGGGTACCGGTGTTCGAATACTTTTGTGACCGACTGTACACAAATTACTACTTTCTCCGTCAAGCTGGATTTCCCAAAAAGCACTATTAGCATCTAAAACAGAAAATATTTTTGTGTTAGGCATTCTAGTGACAACTTCGTCAATGGTTAACATCGGATAATGTTCTCGTTTTATAGCTTTATTTATATCTCTAGGATCTAAACATATTCTTATTTTGTTCGGTTTGACAACTGTGACCATTGAATTTACCCATTCAGTTGATTCTCTTACTTTCTCAATAACATTTAAATTTTCCATTCTTTGTAATTCTTTCTTAACTTTATCACGTATAGCTATGGGTATTTTTCTTGGAGGATGAATGACTGGTGTTACATCTTGTTTTAACTGGATTTTATATTCTCCATTCAAACAACCTAAGCCTTCAAATACATCTTTGTATTCCTCCAGTAAGTCTTCAGTGTAAACAGACATTACTTTCTGAATCAAACCTAGTTACAAACATGATTTTAATCCTAATATAGAAGGTACTTCTTTGTCAATAACTTGGAATTCCGCAACATAATAATTTTTTCCATATTGGCAGTTAAGTACTACTTTTCCTAAAGTATCCATTTTATTCCCAGAGAATGTAATTAATCTTTTAATTTCAGACTTCTGTATCGGAACATTTAGCAATTTCACTTGCTTAGAAATTAGAAATTCTTAAATTCACTTGCTTAGCTTTTAAAAATAACATTGCACATTGCTCCAGTATCTAACTGAAAATTTAGTTTACTTTTATTTACATTAATGTCAACAGTCCATTTCTCTTCCTTGTTATCTGAATTAAGGTTTAATGTGCCAACATAAAATTCTAACTCTTCCTCAAAGTCATGATTTATTAATTTAATTTGTCTATCTGTTTGTTTACTGCTTCAATTTTTATTATATAGCTTTTACACTGATTCGCGAAATGATTTGCCTTTTTACATTTATGACAGATTTTTCCATATGCTGGACACATTCGATACTCATGAGATGTTCCACATTTAGAGCAAACGGTACTATTCGGTTTCGAAGGCCGTAAAAAAAATTGCAGCGAAAATGTATGCGCAAAAGCGCCAAATCTAGCAAACGCGCCCATTTAATAGCGCGCCAAATCTAGCGTACGCGTTGATTTCAGATTGCGTAAGTTTATATAATTATATATTTCTTAAGACGCCATTGACATATTTGTTTAATTTTTAAATCCTTTTTTGATATCCTATGGATTTAACAATTTGGGAATTGCCCGTGACGGAAAGTCGGCAATAGAATTTTGGGTAATGTCCAGAATCACCCACTGCTTGAAGCGTTTTTAAGAATTGCACATACTCGGTATCCATGTGCACATCGACCTATTTTCACTTAAAAAAAATCTAGAATGGCACAAAAATGGCACTGCGCACACCCTTGACTTTATCTATGTACACATCGACATATTTTCACTTAAAAAGTAAAAGAAAATTGACAAAAATTCAATTGTTTTACCCTCGTAAAAAGCGGCAAAGAAATACGTGAGCGATTTTGCACTTTACGGAGAATATTTTCAAAGAAAAGGCATCATTCATTATAGAAAATTACGTTTGAACAGCCAACGAGATGAAATTATGCTTTAGCGATACGTCGATAGCGAAATAGCGATGCAGGTATCCATTCAGTTATGTTTAGTAATTTTTATATAAATTATAATAATGATCTGAAATAATTATTTACTCTTATGTTTCCATTCAGTCATGTTTAGCCTTTTTCATAAAAATTATAATAATAAAAATGTATTACATGAAATTAACCTTTCATCTAAATTAAAACATCAATCTTAGATAGTTATTTACTATTATACTTCCTTTGTTGCCGCAATTATTAGGGTTGCCGCAATTATTTTTGGCAGCATTGGCATCAACAATAGTTTGGCGAATTTTTACGGCCCTCGAAACCGAATAGTACCGAACAAACTTTTGTCTTTTGTTTATCAGTATTTACCTCTTTGTAGGTATTCTTATTATGTTTACTTAGTTTCTTTTTCACTAAGTTTACAGCAGTTTCCTCATCTTTTATGATTTTCATTTGATGTGCCACTTATTCAGCAGATCTGCCATATATCAAGAGCTTTTTCTAATGTTAATTCTGTTTCATGTAACAATCTTGCTCTCACTACATCATCTTTAATACCACAAGCAAGTTTATCTTTTATTAAACTATCCGTTAATTGTGCAAACTCGCATGTTCTAGCTTTATTTCGAAGGTCAGTTGCTTATTCATCTATAGTTTCTGACGCGGTTTGATTTCTAGTAAAGAATAAATGTCTTTCATATGTAATATTTTTCTTAGGAATACAATATTCCGTAAATTTTGTTTTAATTTCATTTAATTTAATTTCTTTACCCTCTTCTATAGGAAATGTGTTGTATATTTCAAGACCACGAATTCCTATTACATGAAGAAAAGTATTAACTCTTACCTTCTCTTCTTTATTATGTAATCCACTAGCTACTTCATATATTTCAAATGTTTGCAGCCATCTCTGCCAATTTGAAGCTAGATTTCCATCAAATTTCATCGGCTCTGGTGGTTTTAAACTTTCCATTTTGAAAGCCAAATTTTCCTGACACCATATATTATTATGAGGGTACACTTTTAGCTTTTAGAAACTATTTATTTACAATCTTAGAATGTATAATCACAGAGAACTGCAATACCAGCATAGTTCTATTTCATATCTGTATCCCAAGTGTTGCCAATTGCAAGTTACTAAATATTAAATGTTACCATTTACAAATTATTAAATATTACACCCACCTCTTGGCAGAAGAAATCATATGTCCGTTTCTAATAAACTCCTCTTATATAAATCTATACTTCGACCAGCATTACTCTATGCTAGTCCTGTCTGGGGCCACGCTGCCAAAACTCACCTTCAACACATCCAAGTTCTTCAAAACAAAGCACTCAGAGAGATCCTCAACGCGTCATGGTTCATTCTAAATTCTTATATCCACCGTGATCTCAAAGTAGATACAATTCAAGATTATATACAAAAACTTGCCAGAAATTTCTTCTATTCAGTTCTCACTCATCCTAATGCATCAACTCTCTTAGATGTTCTCCATTTCCCAGAGAAAAGCACAAATATCCATCTGACATTCTCCATCCTTAACATTTCTTACTTATACTAGATTCTTCAGATCACTGATTTGGACCTTCAACCAGGCACTCACCTTTTTCGTCGAGTGATGGCGGCCACCTGACATTTACTTTCGTCTTTTTGTTTTACTGATGTTCTTCACGTGATACAGAGTAAAAGGAGGCGCTGCTTTCTGAAACTCAAATTCTTTATATGTTCTTAGTAGTTTCTTTCTATAGCCCCCCTTTTTTTTTAAATTATAAATATAAATTTTTTCCCTCTTCATTACTTTAGGGCCCCTTATTTTTTACTTTATTTTGTCCCATATTTTCTTCCTGGCCTTTCGAACTCGTATAAAATGTACGAAGTTCCTTTTTACTCTCCTCTGAAATATGGAATTGCCCCCCTTTCTATATACCTTTCCTTCTCACCTATGCTTGATTTTTTGGCTATCGGTGCTGAAAGACTTGGCGGGTGCAACAAAAGGCATCTATTCACTTTGTGTGTAAAGTTTCGGCATTTGTTTGGTGGTCAATGGAAAGTTGTAACATTAAAAATATTTAGATTGTAGGTTTTGTGTACATCCATTAAGTTACCAGTTTTGTGTACATAAAATTATTTAAAAATGTGCTTTATAGGAACAAATCTGGAAACATAAAATAAATTAAGCAATGTTTGAAAAAGTATATTTAAGAGGTTGAAAGTTTGTATCGCTTATTGAATGCAATTTCTAAATGTTTTTGTGTGAGTTTAAAGAAGAATATTTAAACGTATTCTCCCCAAAAAAACTTAGGTGTGTGATATAGCAACTTCTAAATAAAAGCAATATTTAAGAGTCTGTGTGTATAAATGGGAAAAGTAGTAAATGATGTACATGACTGGCGATATTATAACATATCCGACTTGTAATGCCGGTATTGTGAGTAACATTGGATGAACTGGAACTGCTTGCTTATGTTTAAGATAGAAAACTGTACATTTGTGGAAGAGAATAAGAGAATTTAAAGTAAACTTTTACACATGTGAATGAAAAAACTTGTGAGCAAGAGGCCTAACTATTTACTTCTACATAATAAACTATGCTAAATTAGCACTTGTATACTTGAAACAGGGAAATGAATTCATGTAGAAATCACTTTTACCAAAGCAAAAACAAAACTGCATGTGGGAGACTACATTTTGAAAACATCAAATTTAAACAGCTGCATTAATATTCTGATGTTTAAAATATCAAAAGGCATGCTTATCAACAAAGAGAAGCCATATATGTGTGATATATGTTCCAAGTCATATGTATATAAAAGTGATTTGAGCAGGCATAAACGCATTCATACAGGAAAGTTGCATGAATGTAGTGTATGTTGGAAAACTTTTGCAAGTAAAAATACATTAAAACAACATATGTACATCCACACTGGTGAAAAGCCATATACGTGTGATGTATGTTTGAAGTCCTTTGCACAGAGAGTTACCTTAAAACAACATATGCGTATTCACAATGGTGAAAAAGAATACACTTGTGATATGTGTGGTAAGGCATTTCTTCATCTGCGCAGTTTAAGTACGCATATACGTTCTCATATGGGTGAGAAACCATATGAATGTGATATATGTAAGAAGTCGTATAAGCTTAAACAGCATCTAAGAGTTCACATGCGTGTTCATACAGGTGAGAAACCGTATAAGTGTGATGTATGTTGCAAGTCATATATATGTAAAGGAGCCTTAAATGTACATATGCGTACCCATACAAAGGAAAAGCCATATGAATGTACTGTATGTTCTAAGTCATTTGCGTATAGGAGGGGCTTAAAGCAGCATATGTATATCCATTCAGGTGAGAAACCACATACATGTGAAATATGTTTAAAATCCTTTTCATGTACAAGTGTGTTAAAGTACCATATGAAGATTCATACTGATGAGAAGCCACATTTCTGTGATATATGTTGCAAATCGTTTGCTCAAAAAGGTGCCTTGAATCAACATAGACTAACTCATGCAAGTGAGAAACAACACAAATGTAACATGTGCAGCATGTCCTTTGCATATGTAGATGGATTAAAGGCACATGTAAGTACACATACGGGTGAAAAACCACATGCGTGTACTGTATGTACCAAAACATTTGCACATCCTAAGAGCTTAAAGAGACACATGTATAATCACACAGGCGAGAAACCACATGCATGTAATATGTGCGGGAAGGCATTTCCTACACAGTGGCGTCTAACCAAACATTTACGTATTCATACACATAAAGAACCATTTGTGTTTAGAAGTGATTCCCAGCAGGAATTTCCCATAGTGCATACTGACCAAGAGAAGCAACCGCATGAATGTAATATATGTGGAAGACCTTTTGGATATCTAAGTAGTTTAAACAGACACATGCTTACGCATACCAGTGAAAAACCACATGTTTGTAGCATATGTAACAAGTCATTTCCAGAAAAGTGGCGCTTAGTTGCACATTTACGTATCCACACCAGTGTTGATGCACGTGTGTGTGCAAATACTACACAGCAAAGCACGGATGAGAAACAACATGAATGTGCTGTGTGCTTTAAATTATTTGCATATCCATGTGCTTTACAAGAACATGTGTATATTCACACTGGTGAGAAACCACATGAATGTAATACATGTGGAAGGACATTTTCATATCGCAGTAGCTTAAATAGACACATGAACACTCATTCAAGTGGAAAATAGCACATATGAGATACATATAACAAACTATTCTCACATGCATGAGTTTTAATAAGGTATTTATATGTCCACCCAAGTGGAAAATCATACGAGTATAATCAGAGGCAATAAAAGAAATGTTTAAGAATAATATTCTTGAAGAAAAAGGTCTAATTATTTATTTGGTACTTCTTGATTTATGTATACCTTCATTGAAAAGTCACGAATGGTGGTGCAAAGCATTTGCAATCTTATTCACGATTTTGAAAAGATCAGGTTATTTGAATATGACAAAGCATATGAAGGCTATCTGACTAAAGGAAAGAATGCATTCTTGAAAGACATTCTAAGGAAAACTGGTTTGTGTTAATGTTACACGTTGGGAAAACTAACTTGCAGCCAACCCATTTATCAGTGTTTGAAGTTGGGTCAAACTACCAGTATTCAGTAGTTTTAACTATTTAGCCACTGATGAGGCTCAACCTTGTGCAGGAACATATGTTTGGATATCTTTACATCTATTTCAACAATGGATCCAGTGCAACCTCTTCCTCTCTCTCTCTCTCTCTTTTTTTTTTTTTTTTTTTTTTTTTTTTTGCCTAATTCTTTTTCCATCGCAGACATACAGACATCTTGTTGTTTTGCTGTCTTCTTATATACACAGCAATCTGTTTTCACTAAAAAAGTGCCAGAGAATTGTACAAATTCAGCATGACACATGGGCCATGATCATGATTGCCCAAGAATAGTTGAAACTTCTGCATATACTTCAACATATATTGTTCACTTCCACACCTATTAAATTAATTTCAACCTTTTCGTTGCCCTGCATTGGCAACACGCTGTTGAGATTTGTCGTTCGTAGAATTTGGTCGCTAAAAGAGTAGCTGACCTGTAACTGTTGTAATTCTTATATTAAAGCTTATCTGTATTGCTGAATTATTACTAAATGTTTACATATAATGTTTTATTATTAAATGTATTCAGTTTGGTTTTAATATACCGAGAGTGATTGAGTTTGTAAAGTATATTTAAAATCGAAACTACATCATCCATTTCGGCGCCATTCTAACACGGGAATGTAAACATATATACACATAATACTATAATCAAAATCATCCTTGAAAAAAAGGGAGGTAATGCATGATGAATATTATTATATTGTTGACTAATGCTTGCTTGTGTGACTTATAGTCAGCCCAAGCCAACGAAATTCCTCATGTCAAGGAGCGCAAGATTATGCCTGTGGTTGGCAACAGCCTTGAGGCACCTTACAGGTGACAATGTGATTTAGCTCAGTTTTGCCTCCAATTTTGATGGAGAGCACCCTGGGGGACAGGTCTGAGTGTCTTCCCTCCCTTTTCCCCTATTATCAACCTTGAGAGGACTTTTGGCTTGCCGCATATTTAGAGTGTCCCCATGCCATAGAGACATGGCTGTTCAGTAGTAACCCTCAGGTACCGTTGTGTACTCTCCGCATCACATGGCAAAAATCCAAATGATTGGTGAAAGCCATAGAGACATGATGCATTTACAAACATCCATATATGTGATTAAAAATGCCATTTTATTTCCCTTACTTTTTCAACATATAATTTAAAAACTAATTTATGGTAACAACTTATGCACGAATAGTAAAATATTTCATGTACATTAAAACAGTATTGAAATTGAACAGTAAAGAAACAGTTTTAGTAATCAGAATCTGATGAAGTGAAGCAAGTTCAACAGTCAGAATGGAAAATTAACAGGAAAGTATTAACAATTTATGTAAAGCAAGAAACAAGGAATAAAAAGAATTAAACCGCCAAGTGAAAAGAATTTGTATAACTGTGTTAATAATACATGTATGAGGAAGCACTTAAAAACATACTGCATTTACTCACCTCTTTTTCCCCCTAGTTTATTTCAGCGTATGATTTAGAAGCTTCTGATTTATGTTAACTATTTAAAATTTATGCACAAATAGTAAAATATTTTTTTTTAAGTAAGGAGAATATTATTGAAACTGCTAAGTTTTTTTTAATAAATAATAGAATAATATTAATTTGTCTTTAGGTGTGCTATTTAATATGCTATGTTTATCATTTAAACCATCTATTCAGAAACATTACACACCACGTATTTTGCCTGCTTTTCTGTTGAGATAGTAAAGTTAGTACAAAAAGGGGAAGGGGGAAATATGCAAGTAAGCATAGCATATAAACAAATTAACTACAAAATAACAGCCTAAATGAATTAAGAAATAATTAAAAGAAGAAACATATTTAAACAATGGAAAAATGGCAATATAGTTTTTGGATTTTCGTCAAAATGTTCGTAATAAAAAGACTAAAAATCAAATTATTTTTTTATTTACAGAACTAACGGAAATGGAGTTTACGATAACTTCAAGAGAGGATAAGAGATCAAGAGAGCTCACATATCTACAAGATCACAAAAACAAAATCCCATGCTACTTTTTTTATTTTTCTCCTGCTACTTGTGCTCAAAAATTTCTAACAGCAATGCTTATAATATACCAATTTTACTAATCCACACAACTCTTGGTAAGAGCTATGCAAATTAGCAGAATTCTGTTGTTAATTATAATAAAAAATTTACTTTGTGCATTAAATAAATGATAGCAAAATTTTTAAACAATTGAATATTTTCATTGTGTGTTATACATTACAAAGTCTTCAATCCGGCCTCGTCGGGTCTTCAACAATTCCGGATTATAGATCATCAATTTAAATCTGGTAAGATGGCATGCAGAAATTATAAAATTAAAAATATGAAACCGTAATTTATGAAATAAAGAGCAATTATGATCTAAAGGGTATCAAAGTTTACTAAAAGCAAAAGCTTAATATTTATTTATTTACTTTATTAAACATTTCTTTCAATGTAAGTTGTTTAAGTTGCTTTGTTTTATGTGCTACTACTTTCCCTTTAATTCTATAAACAGACAAAATTTCTTGTTCAGTTACAAAGTTCCACTGTTCAAGTCCTGTAATTGCTGTGCCAAGAATACCGATTAACTTGTCAATTGAAATTTTTTCATTTTCACTACACTGGCTGTCACTTTCTTCATGCCTTTATCCATTTTTTGTAGCAATTCCACTTTTTGTTTGATAGACATCGAAACATGCTTTCACTTTGTAGATCCTCTGGCAGCTCTAGAAGCGGAAACTCTTTTTGATATAATTGAAAATTCAAGTTTACTTTTTATAAAATTGCTCTAAAAGTCTGCAAAAAATAATAATCCGGATCCAATTAGAAGATTAAGGAACAATGCAATCTGCAACCTTAACTGAAATAGATAATAAGATAATTTTAGCCTAGCTTATACCATCCGTTATACATTAAACGTGCATGCGTAAACGCACATGTGTGTGCGTAAAGGTATTATATGCATTCCTAAACGCATATACGCATGCACAGAAAGTTTGTAGCTTTGAGGTCCGGATTATAGATCATTCCGGATTAAAGACTTTGTTCTGTATACATATAAGAATTATTTTGCAAGCAGTGATAACTAAAATGAGCCTAAGCATACCTATTCCAATAAAAATGGGATCTGTTTTGCAAGTTAATTTTTTCTGTACATTAAGTAGTAAGCATTTCTGTTGCTCCTACGTATAATATTAGCATCAGGTAAACAGCTTACTTAAATTATTTTTTTAATATGTTGTGTTCCATTAAGCAAATTGGCTCAGGTATCCATTCACATAGTTTGTTAATTAATCCAACACTACCTTGTAGTCTTTTACTTTCAGTCAGATTTAACTGTGTTATTTATACACTGGTGTGCAAAAATCAAGGACGAGACGGTTTTTTCAATACAACTTTGTACAAAAGCTTTCCAAATCAACGCATTTAATACTGTAAGATCCCCAATACGTAAGGACATGAGTAATGTAAGCAACACATACTAAAAGAGAAATCAGAGGGATAAAAAGAAGCGTGGATCGCAATGCAACTGAAAGCTGAAACATCCCTGTGATGGGTGTCCAGCAAGAAACATCCGGTCTTTAATAGGGGATATGATCTCCCCTGACTGCTAGGCAGGTTTCACAGCATCTGCCCATGCTGAGAATGAGGGTGTCAATGAATTGTTGAGGCATTGCTGCCCATTCGTCTTGCAGCGCCAATCGAAGCTCCGGAATTGTTACTGGTGGTAAGGTACGAGCTGCCAAGCGTCTGCCTAGAAAATCCCATACGTGCTCGATAGGATTGAGATCCGGAGATCGTGCCGGCCAATCCATACGTTCAATATCCTCACTCTCTAAGAGCTGTTCGGCAGCTACTGTGCGATGACATGATGCATTGTTGTCCATGAAAAGGAACTGCGGACCCATAGCGCCTCTAAAAAGACGCACTAATGGAAGAAGAATCTGGTTACAATAACGGGTCCCGTTGACTGAACCTGCATCGAAGATGTGAAGGTCTGTACGACTACCAAGTATGATGCCTCCCCAAACGAGAACACCGCCACCTCCATACCTGCCCCTTTCAATGATGTTCAAAGGATGATTGCGGCTTCCCCGCTCTCTCCAGATGAGTATGCAATGAGAATCGCGACTCAGACTGAATCTGCTCTCATCTGTAAAGAGTACTTGTCCCCATTCATTGTCTCTCCAATTCTGGTGTTCCCGGCACCACAGAGAACGCCTTCTCCGATGGGCAGGCATTAGAGGTACACATCGTACAGGGCGTCGTGCAAACAGACCACCACCGTGCAGTATTCTGGCCACGGTAAAACGCGATATCAGCCGTCCAGTCGTCTGTGTCATGTGACTAGCGATTTCTCCCGCTGTCTGCCGCCTGTTTCTTCTGGCCTGTAAGGCAATATACTGGTCATCTGCGGTTGTGGTTCCTCGTGGACGCCCACCACTAAACCCCCAGATAGCTGTTCCTGTAGTTTGAAATTGCCTTCAAAGTCGTGAAACGATGCTGTGAGCAATTCCAAACTCTGCAGCCACACTTGTCACACTGCGGCCTTCCTCCAACTTCCCAATGATTCGACCTCGGGTAAAAGCATCCAGATGTCGTCTAACAGACAAATTGATTATTCGCCATTTCTTGCTGAGGCAGCAACTCAGTGTGATTTTAACTGCTATACGGCGTGTAATCTCTTTGCCAGAAATACTGATCTTACAACGACAACATGCTTTATACTACTCAGACACTCCCCCATTACATCTACCTGCATATCTGCGCATGTGCTACTCTACATCACCTTACTTAATCTCCTGATTTGTCTTTCTGTCCGCTCTGCCTCTTCATTCAGCTGATATGCTAATTTTTCGACTTTGTCCTTAATTTTTGCACACCAGTGTAATTTTAAATACGTTAATTTTGAAGTGTAGTTATGAGCACGTTTTTGTGAGAGCTTATCATTTTAAAAATTGTTATTGAGTACAGGATTTCTTATGTAGTATATTCTAAATAGAATATTATAAATGGTTATTTGATAAAGAATATTATGGTTATTCAGTAATAGTTCATTATGGAATCAATTCGACCTCTGACCTCCAAGAAAGTAGCATGTGTTTTTCTGTCGCTGCGAGATTTGGTTCACATTGTTCAATCAAGAACATGTTTTCCCCCCTCGCCTATGCTTTGTAGCAGTATTAGCTACAGAAGCTGTGGTACCTTCTACTCCCTTATGCTACTTGGATTTTAGTGACATTAAATGTGTGTTTTAGTGTATGTGAGTACTTGTGCTTTCATTTTCACTATGGATGATAACGACATTGCTGAAATTTTGGACTTGAGAAATGATTATGGTATGACTCCTGCGGATAAGGATTTACTTCTAAATGACTTACTTGCTAAGGAAACTTATGATGACATGGATTTTGTAAATGCTGTGGATTTCCTCAACAACAACTCCACAGGATTTTGAAGAGAAGTTAATGACAATCCTGACAAGAACGTCAGTATGCACTGTGAGAGGGAATACTCCCAGATCAAAGAAATGAATGCATAACTTGATAACATAAACCTTCTAAAACCTTGGCTGAAATTCTCATAATATAGCCTTCAGACTGGTGTGATCCAAAATACTTTCTCCCCCTTCTCTGACCTTTTCCTAATGAGAAAAGTCTTTAGAGTGGTCATTTGTTCTCTCCATGGATGCAATAAAACTTACATGCTTGTTGGACGCTGTTCCATAATCTAGAATGGGTTACTATATTTGCAGTTTTTTTTAAATTATTTTTTCCTTAAATTAACCTATATCCAATGTAGTATTTATTTAGAACAAAACATATGCAATGTTTATATATCATTTACTCTTTCTGATCAATCTCTGCAATGATTTGTGAATTTTATGACCTTGTTTTCACACTTAATTTATATTCACATATTTTCTTATTAGAAATTAAAAAACGAGAACAAAACTTTACAAAATATAATAACTGTGAACTAGCTTTGTAGGTCTGCAGGTTGGAATGCAAATTTTGATAATCTATTTTCATTAACAAAATAATAGTAATGAATAATTTAATGAAATAATAGATTCATTAATAATATTCATTACTATTAGATGATTAGAATAAGAAATTTTGAGCAAGCAGATTTTGAGATGAACTTATAGCAATAATAAAGTGTTAAATAACAATAATAAAGCTTTAAATATTCTTTTTTGATGATTTTGTTATAATATAAAAAGAAAATTGGAGATACATTGGTTGTGCTTGATCATATAACTTAAACAAATATTACATTGGACTATCAGGCAAAGGAGGTATATCTTTAAAGAAAATTTTCTTGGTAAACTTGGCTTTTGTTTATGTTAGCGGGAAAAAGAAATCTGTGACTATACATGC